TTTTCCTTTCTAATCTCTTGAAAGTTGCCAAATGATTGGGTTCAAATGACGGATCCGACAACTCAATGCGCATGCGTGGTTAATGTTGGTGCGAATAGGTTGCGTGTGCGTGTGATTATGGCAAAGCCTCAAGGCCTATCTGCCTAAGAGGAGGGATGCCTTCGTGCAGGACTTTCTAAGGGAAACTGGCTCATATACACATTACACATGGGGAAAACCACGAAAACACCCATGCAGCGTTCGTAGGATTTGAACCTCAGACCGAACTACCAGTGTTCAGCGACTTTACCGCTCGGCCTGTTGGTGCGAATAACTCAAGCAGCTAATCGCACCACTGGTGCAAATAGCATCGGCCCTACAGAATAGCACTATAGCTAATCCGAAGATCACCAGCACGAAAATATTACAAAGTAGGTAACAGAAATGAAGTAAAAGGAGGTCACATTGAACATTTAAAGTTATTATTACTAAAATTTTAAGTTTTTCTCCATTTAGTTTAGTACTAATTTCATTATTTACTATACATAATGTTTAGAAACTCAGTAAAACATTTGTTTTAAGCCTGCAAGATGCATGTATAATAGGGGGAAAATATAATTTTTCTTTTTTATTACAATTCACTTTAAATTCAACGTCTGTAAATAATGTTAGAAAAACGGATTGCATTCGCCATAAGAGGAGCTTCAAAAGATATGAAATTTAAAACTCATAATATTCTATAAATGTCTGTCTTCAAGTTCAGAAATTTTTCTATGGAATATCTTCAACGCCAGAGGAGATGAATCGAAAAATTTTCTCGCTACAATCACTTAATTCTTTTTGATAATTTCAGATTTTTGTAATTTATTTTCTGAGAATATTTTAAATACAGAGTAAATTTTAATTTACATCATCCATGAGCGAGCACTGAAATCATCTGCTGAATTAGTTTTTCACTGTTGTGGTGGGTCATTTTGGTTAAGTAACTGAGACCATATAAATCAGTTGTATAAAAAAAATTAATAAAGAAACCAAAATCTTATCATTCCCTATTAAGTATATTAATCTCCTCACGACTAGTCAATGATCAGCACTCAAGACTTGCCATGGTGGACTAATGTGTAGCTTTCCTGTATACAGGAGGCGAATCTGTGGAGGAAAAATTTGTTGCAATTCTCTCTAGATATACTTTCCTGCATATTTTTCATGTAATCAGCATTCCTTTTTAGAAGGATTCTTTTGCAGTCTTACTTTCAAATCAATTTACAAAACATTTCTTTCAATACTTTTCGAGGTAGGACAGGCTTCTTTGCGAGAAGCTAGACATAATGTCACTTAAACTTCAAACTTCTCAGGTGAATACATGAAAAGGGAAAAAAACAATAGGAAATTTCAAGAGGTGAGGTGTTTTGACTGAGAGTTTACATTGATAAATAATATTATCTTATAAGGTTTTTTTTAAGCGTTGGGGGGCAAAAGATATATTTTTAATTTAAAGTTCAGTGCTGGTTGAAAATAAATGTACTTTTTCAAAAAAAAAAAAAAAAAAAAAAAAAGGAAATTTTGAATTAATGACTACTATCATAATATTTTGATTACTATCAATAAATACAGACAAATTTTACTAGTAAGAAAGTTACTGACCAAACTAAAAATCAGAAATTTAAAAAACACTGCATTTATAAAAGCTTAGGGTGAACTTTCTATTGATATTTAAGTTCTTTGCAACCTTAGCATCATTTAAGTGTTATTCTTTGAGTACACTGGCATCCTGCATGGGTTTAGTGCTAAAAATTTATAGCTGTTAATTTAAGCATATAACCTTTTTTTTTATTTTTATCCCCATTATATTTAGCACAAAGTGTTTTTAACTCTAAGTGTTCATATCATGTACATATATATATATATATTAAATAAAGTGCCCAGCCATTAAAAAAACCATATATATATATATATATATAATGTTGTATGAACTTAAATCCATTTAGTGCGAATACAAGTTATTATTACTTGCGCAATTGCTGCAAAGTTAGTTAATAATAATTTATTTCCTAAACAGTATTGTAATTGATTATATTATCTCCTAAGTTTAATTAAAGTAGAATTATTTTAAAAGTGTGCATCCATACTGGTAAGTTATATTTTGAAAGATGTTTTGAAGTAATTTGAAAGCAAAATGTTAATAATGTTTTAACGGGGACTGGAGTTAAATCATCACGAAGAATAATATTTCAATTGTAAAAGGAAAAATTAAAACATGTAATTATTGTCATTGATCGGAAATTAGTTGACTTTTCAAGGGGAACAAACCAACTCCCGTTCAATGAACAATAATTGATAAAAATACGTAAATATTTATCTTTTTTATAATCTTCTATGTTTATTTCAACTTTACTTTGAATTCGATTTCATAATGACAATTTCCAATGTTTAATTTCTACAAATAATATAGTACTCAAATACATAAAGATGATAGTGTCGGGGATGGTTACTCGAGTTTTAAAGGATTTCTCTACAGTAATTGATTTTTACTCCAAATTGAATTGACTAAAATGCTTCACGAGAATAAGTTCTTTGAGTAACAACTATTCGCGGAATTATTTGGCCTGACTAGAATTGCCGGTTTGGCTTTAACTTATAACTCGAGTAAAGACGAAACACTTTCATATTTACGTATTTTTATCAATTATTGTTCACTGAACGGGAGTTGGTTTGTTCCCCTTGAAAAGTCAACTAATTTCCGATCAATGACAATAATTACATGTTTTAATTTTTCCTTTTACAATTGAAATATTATTCTTCGTGATGATTTAACTCCAGTCCCCGTTAAAACATTATTAACATTTTGCTTTCAAATTACTTCAAAACATCTTTCAAAATATTACTTACCAGTATGGATGCACACCTTTAAAATAATTCTACTTTAATTAAACTTAGGAGATAATATAATCAATTACAATACTGTTTAGGAAATAAATTATATATATATATATATAATTTTATTCATCCCTGCATTATTATGTAACTGTGTACTATATGAACATTTGGAAATGTTCCTAAACCATTAGGCATTGCTAGCAAATAGGCCAGTGCTGAAGGGACATTTTTGAAGTATAATCAAGTAACCACCCACGCCTTTCTCATTGCAAATTTCTAAAGCAAAACCTTTCGTAATCAAAGGAACAATGTGAAAATGAAATTATCTTCTTATATTTGTTTTTTGCTTGCTTTGTGACGTGCGTATTAAATGTGAAATTTGTAATGAAAATATAATCTTTTATTTTCTTAAAAACAAGAAATTACCATAAGAACAAAACAGTATCAAGATTCATTGTTTGAGGCATTAAAACCAAATGCTGTTCCTTTGAGAAAATTTTGAAATGTAACTGATTTATAGCATTCAACTGGAATTCAATTGGGAACAGCATTTGAAGAAATGCATTAACAAATCTTAGCAAGAATGCCTGCATTAATGGTAAGTAAATAAACACATCTAAGAATAAAATTAATAAATGCTCATACTTCTGGAATCTTTTTGTGCTGTTATTTTTTAAACACATAAATTTCATGCAAAATAAAAGATCCCCTCAAAAATCTGTACATTACCACTAAGTCATATCTATCACAAGTAAACTCAAATAATATATGTTATTTACACTTTTAATTTTTTTTTCTCTCTCCTATTTCTGAGATGTACATGCTATGCTTTCACAAATTCATTGTTTTAAGATCTATAAGTCACTGAAATCACCACTATATGTGGTGGTGTCACTACTCACTATGTATTTGAAAGTTATTACACTAGAAAGTCCTTATAAATGCCAGGGGATGGTTGCTATTGAAGGTGGTATATTGGTGATCTGACTCCATAATTGAATGAAACAGCATTCAATATAAAAATATATTTTATTATACACACAGGAATAAGACTCGTACGGGAGCATTGCATAGCGATCCTTTTACTCCAACGGTGCCGACCAAAAAGAGGCTGTGAAGTGAGACAGAAGTTGTGATGTAACAGGACAGATGTCTCTTGCTGATTGGCTTACCCACTATGTATTTGAAAGTTATTACCTTAAAAAAATCCTTATAAATGTTTTCAATTTAAAAGGTCAACACTTATGTTCTTCCCTTGTAAAAGGATAAATGAGGTACAATAAAATATCTCTTAACTGGTAATATCAAAATAATGGCACTTTCAAAAATCTAAACTTAAATATGAATTTTAGTCCTATGGGATAAAAAAAACATAAAACGGCTAAATTTAAATGTGAAAAACATTTACGTTATGTTTCTGCCATCCAATGTAAGAAACAAGGAATTATCTAGAATACTAAGATGAACTGCTGATTCTTTTTTATATATTGATGCATGAACTTTGAAGCTAGTATCCATAATTTTCAGAAACTAATCACATTGAAAGATGCCAAGAAAATGACATATTGTAATATGTAAAAAATATTACAATATGCCACTGTTTGTTTAAATCCTATGATCATGTTAATAGAAGACAAATTGAGTGGCAGGTTCTCTTGGTTTTAAAACACATTTGGCATTCGTGTTTGGCACTTACATGTTTGGAGAAAGTTAATATTAGTGAAGAGGAGGTACAAGTTTGGGTGGATGTAGATAATTCTTATCTGTAATGAAGTTTCCATCAATCTCTCTTATGGGAAAGATGAAATAATTGTCATGTACTGGGGAAGGAGAATATGAAGATGCTCAGAAATTTGTAACTTTCATGTGATAATAAGTACAGTAATTTTAAAACGTTTTATCTTTCTGAAATATAAAACCATTGTCTGTATTTTAATTTTAAATAATCTGTATGATTTTGATATTATTTATTGTGATATTATTCGAGATAAAAGGCATGATAAAAAACATGCCCAACGAACTTCGCATAATGCATTCAAAAGTTGAATGCCGATGACATCATAAAGCATGAGCAAATAAATTCTGGCAAAATATATATTCAATTATCTAGAAAAATCTCTTATCCAAAATCAATGAAATTCTGCTGCCATTAAAAAGTATTTTATTGTACTTGTTTATTTTTTTCCAATCAAGATAAAATACACAATAAGATTTTATTTATATAAACTTTTATTATTTTACTTTTCTAATCATCCTCTTTTGGACAAAAACATAACTTTGCACCTGTCATATTTTGGGGGCCATACAAATTGCACAATTGCATAATATGCATTCCCTTTTACTAAATTGGCTTTTTAAATTGCATAATTCGTTTGATATTTTATTTTCAGGAAGTAAACAAAAAATAAAATTTGTATGTGTATAAAAAATAAAAAATTCTTAGCCATAGAATTTTAACTTCATATCTACAATTAAAATAATAAAATTACAGATAATACTGTTACTCATATTAACATATAAATTCTCAAAAAATTATATAATTGAAAAAAACATTTATTATCATAAATATTTCATATCATGAAACTTATAGAACTGTTTAAAAAAATACAAGCTTACCACAGGGTACATCAGGAACTTCATATATAACACTTAATTTTAAATATTATAAGGCACACAATGTATGTGTGTGAGCATAAACAATTTCAATGTACTAAAAATGTATTTAAAATTATATATCTTGAATATTCCATCATATAAAATGTATAACTCAAATGTGTACTAATAAATAATCAATTATAAGAAATTGAATGTGGCAAAATATTCTTCACAGAATCCAGATATTTAAAGGATTAAAAACTAATACATATGTAAATTTGATTCTTTAAACAAACATTCCCCCCTAGACTTTTGGCCCATCAGTGATCGATCGATAAAATCACTGAACATTGGTAGTTCAATTCAATCCTGGGAAATTGGCTGGCTGAGAGTTTTCAAGGTTTACATAAGATGGATATAAGTTTTCCTTACAGAGTTCTCCACAAAGGCATGTTCAACCCTAGGCAGATAGCCTTCATGCAATTTTTTGTAACCCAAGTAATCCAATATCCTAAACGTTTAACATAATCAAAATTAGTTGAGCTGAATATTTGAACTTGAACAACTACTTGATTTTTGTATTTGATGTAATGTTGCAATTAAATTTTAACTTATATCTGAAAAGAATCTCATATTTTAGAAAATATCAGAGTTATGCAGAAAACGACTTTTTTACAGTTTTTGCCTCATTTTTCAATCATATTTTGCTCCTTTGATTTAGCTTGAAGAGACTGGAAATAATTCAAATCATAGACAAATATGAAGTAAAGCAGGCTTTAATCACAAAAGAAAGAAAATCACTGAGCAATCTGCAATAGTGTCAATGGCAAATAATTCAGATACTGTAATAACACGTACCAATAAAAAAAAAAAAATTACTGTTTATACAGTGGGATAAGGCTTTTGACGTGATGTCCAGAAACATGAACTTATTTTCAATTTGATGGACAAATAAAAGACCATGTTAATGAATTTCAACAAGTTTTCTATTTAGTTAACAAAACATGGACTATAGATTATTGCTCTTTCACAGTAACATTTAAGATGTGACATACTCATGCTATAGTTCATGTTACTTCTTCTAAAATGACAAATGATCCAACAAAATCAGCATGCAGTATGAAAAGTTATACTAAGAAATTATGAATCCTTCGAAATAAATTCTCCGACATAAATTTACAAATCCCCGAAAATAAATTAGATGATTAAAAGAGTATGCTATTGCATAAGGAGCAATGTTCTTCATAGAAATCTTAAAATTAATTAATGTTAAGAGTTACTTAAATAAGAAGAATGCTAACTAATTCAGTAGGACTATATATTATGAATTTGTCAAATTTCCCGAAAACCTTTAGCATCAGACTTTGCAACCAACATCCTCAAAAATTTATTACTAGAAGTTTGACACTTCCTGAAATTTTGTACTCAAGGCTCATTATCCAGTCTTTCAAGGAAGTGGTTAAATGAATGATCAGTTCAATTGTAGGAGCACACAGAACATCATTTATAAGTTTTAAATCATCAGAAAAAGATATATGTATGTATATTATGGAAAAACAATTTTTTGGTACTTCCTTTTTAAAGTGACCACCCTACTTAATTGTTACCTCTGGCAAATTTAATAACCCAGTTTGTAATATGCAAATTTCAAATTCACCAGACTTACATATGTGCTGGCTGCTTTAACACTTTTTCGAATGGTAGACACTTGCCTTTTTTCAGCATTGGCCACTCCTAAGTAGTTGCAATTTTAGTGTAGAGGCACGTAATAGGCGGCCACCATTATCTCCTATGAAGGGACAGACAATTTATATTCATGCCTTCTCTGGAATTTGAACCTGGGCCCTTAAGTATTGCAGTCAGTTCCCTTAACCACTACGAAAGTACCATTAAAAAAATTTTCATGTGAACATTTATGGCAATTCAAATTAATGTAAATTAAAAGAGGCAAATAAAAAAAACTAATGTGTATACATAACAACTATTATAAAAAATACATAATCACCAACTGAAGAATAAATTTGAGAGTTTCGAAAAGTATGCTAAGCAATGCCTATATTTTAATTCATTTCCTGAATGATGTATAAAAAATGATCCTGTAATGGTTTACGTTACTTCTGAAATATTTTCCTAGAAGTAATTACATAAAGTTTATTTGTAGAAAAAATTCTTAATAAAAGTTCAGTCTATTATAATGGACTAGATAAGAGGAAGTCTACTGCAGTGCTTTCAAACCATCTTTCATTTTGCATTCTGAGTGTTATCTTTTATCATTCTATTGGATGTTCAACAAAATTTTATTGAGTTGCAAAGCCTTTCTTAATTTTATCTTCTTTTGGATTTTTTCAATATGATAATTTCTTATGGAATTATTTCAGACTTACATTCAAAATCGGAAATAAAAAACTTTTTATTCTTCTTTGCATGTTATTAAAGTTTTGTAATTACAGCTTAAAAGAACTTACCATTTCGATGAAAATGTCAAAATGGACCACGGAAAAGCATTTATAAGCAGACATTGTTTATGGACTCTTATTTCCTGAACACTGAAGGCAATTTATACATCAAACACATTTATCTAAATTAATAAACACATTCATCTAAATTAATTTAACAGCTTCTTGAAAATATGTACTGCAGTATTTTTAAAATAAAAAAATTAGAAAGTTTAATTTTACTTGCCCTAGAAGGAAGAAAAAACAAAGCTAATAATTAAAATTTTGTTATAGAATGATTCTTAATACAATTTCAGACAAAATAAATTTTAACAGGCAAGATGTACAATTTGAAGATTTTTAATTCAATGCTATGTGTTAAATAAAAGATATATTTATTAATATTATTACTCTTAAAATGCATTAAATGATTAGACAGCTCAATATATTTTCCTCACATTGATTACCATAATAGTTACTTCCTCAGCTAACAAATCATTGTAAAGATATGATTCCCACCCATAATATTTCACTTAATTAGTCACACTTTTTATACTTCTTTTTTTCCCTCATTGTTCTGAAAGAAAATAATAGGATTAGAATTTGAGACCATGAAACTTTAAAACATGGGATCCTAAGCCCCAGGTAATTATGAGGACTTGCCTATAATTATACAAGCAGCTGCTCATATAATGCCGGTCAGAGGGTTAGGAAAATGTGATTTGTTGCCAAATATTATAAAAGCATCCATGAAAATGAAATTGACTGCAACAAACGATAAATTGGCCTTTCGTGCTACAGATATATAGAAGGAATTTAATTATAAACTCATATTTATTATCACATTTAATATAATCTTATCAACAGTTTATTTAAAATAACAGTATAATTCAGCAGAACTTATTTAGGTACTTATATATTAACGGAACAACTTTGGCACAATATGGTTATTATTTTTTATAGATTGAAAAGTTAAAATCAAGTGCAAGGTGGCAATTTTGTCATTAAAAAAAAAAAAAAAAAAAAGCAAGCTATCAATATTTATTATAAGTCTCCAAACACTATCAACATATCAAAAGAAAACACACTCTAAAAATTTAAAATGCAAATTTTAATTAATAAATAAGGATTATATGGTACATTAAAAAATAAAACACAAACTTTTTTTGAAAATTCCTCCTCTAATTTTTAGACATCTTCTTCATCCCATATACATATTGATCTGTTTTCATTTAAAAATAGATAAGAGACTTGCATAAACTCAGCACTGCACACCAGTTATCAATCAAGGGCATCTCATTTTTCCTTTTCGAGATTTTGTGGAAAAATATTAAATTCCTCCAGAAATTTTAATTTAATTTCCTGCATCACTGGCAAATTCTGCAAGTGATACTTTGAAATTTGATAAAATTGAGTTAATATCATGAACAAAAAGAAGCTGCTTGACTGAAGTATTATTATGAACATGGTTGCCAGAGTTCGGCACATTCTGAAAATTTGGTGACTTCTACTAAGGTGGTTGCAATAGCATGTAAGTACCCTTATTAAAGATATACATTAGTTATTGTATTTAGTACAATTATGCAAGCAAGTTATTTAAAATAACAACATATATAAACATGCTAGAAATTTTATTTATTATTAAATATAATGGAAAATTCTATTTGTTATTTTTTAAAATTTTGTTAGCCATTTACTAAAAAAACACAAAAGCATACCAAAAAAATTATTTTTTTAAAGATTATTTCTGGGGGGGGGGTCATAGTTCAGCGTGAAGAAATGTGCCAAATCCACTTTCTTATAAAGACCGCTACAGATGACAAGTACCATTATATGATAAATGATATAATTATTGAGGCATATCATTTTATAACTGATAGATGCTTATAAATAGCATTAAATATAAGAAAATAAACTAGTTTTATACTCAAATCTAAAGAAAGAAGGGGGAAGGCATATGCTACAGTTTATTTTCATATTTGTCTACCTAAAAAAAAAAATAATAATTAAAAATTCATGATGTTCAATCTGAGGTAAAAGCATATCTTAAAAAATAACTCAAGCATTTGAATAATATATACCTTATTTATTGGAAAATAAGACTCCTTTTTTTTTCTGCAGTAGTTTTGTTTTAAAATTTGGATTGGTTCTCGTAAATGCATACTTTATTAAAATTAATAACAATTAAGAAAAGGGAATTTAACTATCATAATTCACAGAATAATTAAACTGTTTAAATACCAAACAAACTGTACATGTTACTATACACATCAATTGCTTAACTTTCACTAATTATAATAGCCATATTTAACTAAGTAAGTTCAGTTTAGGCTTTCATTTATCAAATTGGTCACAGGCTCTGAAAACATAGATAAAAATATATTACTAACTTTTCCTAAATTTTATTTCTATATCACATATCCCAAACTTGAAATCTTAAAAGGTAGGAAGCTGTACTTCATGTTGCACAGCAATACAATTTCAAAGGAACTGCAAACTTATTATTATTAATTCAATTAATAATGCATGCTCCAAGTTATTAAAATATTGTTAATTCATTTCTGATGTGAAATATTAGCATTTAATTGGATATTCTAAATTTTATGTTCTTTGGTTAATTTCATTTTGTAATTTTCTTATATTTTTATGCCAAGTAAATTCTAAGCAGTGAAAGGAAACTTTAATTTATCAAATTATGATGAAAATAATAATTAAAGTTCATAGTATTCATGTGGATAAATTTAATGATATCCCACATATAGAGGTAAACAAAATTATATACAAATATTAATTGATTAAACATTGCCTGAATCTTTGCATAAAAATTACAATTGCATTACAATAAAATGTAACAAGAAAAAATATTCAGATGAATTAAAATTTACTATGAAAATCATTACAGGTGAAAGAGTGAAATTTGCCTATTTTAAGTATCATTAATTCAAAAGAACCATTTTCCTTGGTAAAAGGGTAAAAATTAAAAACTGGAAGATTCAAATGACCTACTGGGACAGTTGGCAGTTATCATAGTAAGATATTTTGGTTTAATTAGCTTGTGTCCTTTTATTCTAATTAGAATTATGCTCTTATTTAATATTCATTTTTATTTCTCAAGTTATCCTAAAGTGTATGTATGGAAGGTCTTATTTTAAAGTAAAGCAGTAAATGACATTCAATACATTTTAGTACTCTGAATACTCAAAACTGTATAGTACATTCATAGCATTTCAGAGTTTTAATATATATAATATGCTGTATTCTGAAAACATTCATATAATTAATATAATAAAAATAATTCAGTTTTAGTAAAAAGTCATTTTCATAAATGACATTTTATGCATTGAAGTTACTAGCAACAAAAATGTCTTATTAAAAAACTGGAAAAGCAGCTTGAAAACATTTGTACAATTGATAGTAATTTTCAAAGTTACATTAAGCAAATTCTTCAAATTACAAAATATCTTGAGCAAAATTGTGCTAAAGCAATTGTAAATTGTTCACATATGTATAGATGACTTAAATGTATCACAAGTAAGCTTCAGTGTAAATACTATAACTTTCAGAAGTAAATATTACACTGAGTTTATTCTCTCTAATACAGATCTTACCAGTAAAGGAAAAAAAACCACACATTTTATATGAATATGATATAGAAAGTAAGTTCACGAGATGATATTAATATAAATTCATAATGCATACAAATAAAATTACTGATGTTTTAAAATATGAAACCACTTATTTGATCTTGATTTTTGGTATGATTAATCTTTCAAAATATCATTTTACAGTATCAAATAAACTATAAAACATATATGATATATGCATAATTAACTTCCTTTTGTTTGATTATTACTACTTGAAATGCCAGGTGGACTAGTATCCATTTCACCAGGTACTACAGGTTCAGTTAAAACACTCCTAGGAAGATCTCCTTCACTTAGAAATGGAGTTTCAGTGCCTGTTGTTCCTATTACTAAAACATTTCTTTTTAAGTCAATGCAACACTGATGTCGTTTTAACATATCTAAACCTAATAGCATATCCATTACTTGTTCTTCTAAAATTGAGAAAGATGACTGTAAAAACACATCATTAATTTGAATGTGGCCCAAATGAACTCGGCCAAGTATTTTCTGAATGCCCACGCCTTTAGCATATCCAGCCCATCTCTTATCTACAAGTCGCATAATACCACACCTTTCAGCACATGCCTGGCTCATGATAGTTGTCTGAGCACCACTGTCAATAAAAGCTCTGACTGGATGACCATTCACTTTACAATTAATATACAGCATAGTCACTTGGCCGAAGCTTTCAGGATGATATTCAATTGCTGCTTCCATGTTCGAATCAACGTTGTCCTGTCTGATCTCCTCTGCTATCAAGCGCTGAGCTTCAGGATCGAAAGGGTCAGCATTCATAATCTGGATACGCTTCATCTCCCGTTCTGATTTTTCAGCAAGCTGGATATTTAAAACTTCCCCAAATAACTCTTTATTCCCTGATAAGAATGCATCAGCCAGTCGGGGATTGTTTTGCTTCAGAAGAGTTAACTGAGCAGGATTATTTCTTAAAGCCTGCATAAGACGTTCTACCTCATCGCTTCGAGCATGTGTGGGAGATGATACATTCTGTGTTGGAGTAGTTGGTGTTACCTGGGGAGAAGCTACACTTCCCGGTAACTGGATGGAACTGAAATCTATTCCTAAATCAGGGAGTTGATTTGAAGGAGGCTGAAGAAGCATTTGTTGAATCAAGAGTACATCACCTTCTTTAATTCCATAAGACCGTAAATCCTTTTTATTATCAAGGAGAGGGCGACCCTCGTGAGTTATGACCATTTCTTGGGATGGTAACCCGACCTCACATTCACATAATGCTTTAAAATTCTCTAATTCCATATCCGGGCTCACTTCTATTGTGACAAGTACATCCGTTAACGTTGTTACTGTTATTTTCATAGCTGATTTTGAACACTGTAATCAAAACACAACCTTATACCTGCTTACGCACTGATGAAAAACACACTGTTACGTTTTCAGACGTTGCCAGAATGATGCAGCACAATTTTGACATATTACAGTTGCCATAGTGACGGCTTTTACGATAAATGTTAAAATATTGTTCTGCGTATTATTTATTAACAATAATATTTATCGTGTTCTCTCAGATTAGCTAGTCGTATTAAAAAATTCAAATTGAAGACAGTTATTTACAGAATTTTTACAAATAATTATTTAATGTAACTATTTTTTATGCGTGGTATAACAGAACTTTAACATAGATATACTGACTATCCTATATTTAACATACGCTAATCAAAATTCTGACTAATAATTTTACCTTTATGCAACATACTATCAATTTTTCAACCAATAAATTCATCAGTTTCCAACCTTTTCTTCCAACTTCCAGCCAGCATAAGACAAAAAATCAAATGCAAAAATCGTATTAGGAAAAACTGGCAAAATACAAGAGACTCGAGGCTAAAAATTCAACTGAACGCTCTTCAACGTGAGATTACAAAAACATTAATAACTTCAAGACGCAACGCTGGCGTAACTTCCTCAACTCTCTCGCAACTGAAGATAATTCTCTTTTTGACATTGCAAAGAAATTTAAGAAACCCTTCAAGCAAATTCCTCCACTTCATGGTACCAACGGAATGATTTATTCAGACGAAGATAAAGCTAACAACTTTGCAGATATACTAGAAGAACCGTTTACTCCCAATACTACTCCCTACGACAACAATCATATCTCCAAAGTTAGTGATACTGTTAATACCTTCCTACAAATACCAGGTCCTTTGAACTTTACATTCCTTGCCACGCCTAAGCTGGTTGCCGATTATATTAGCTCCTGGTGTTGATGGTATTTCTACCAAAGCGTGAAACATCTTCCTATCAATGCCATCACTTGTCTTACTAACATAATCACCTCTATCATTAAATTCTCTTACTTTCCTAATATTTGGAAATATGCCATCATCGTCGTCTTCCCAAAACCGCATCAAAATTAAAAGTTTCTCCAGAACTACCGCCCAATCAGCCTTCTCAGCCAATTTTCTAAAATAGTTGAAAAAGTTAATCATCTTAATCAAATTATTCCACAGAGTTCCTACATTCCAGACGAACAGTTTGGCTTCCGTCATCTTCACAGTACTAATCACCAGCTGCTTCATGTCATCAACTATATTATTGACGGTTTCAATTGTAAGTTCCCTACCGGAGCTATTTTCCTTTATATTGCGAAAGCTTTTGATAGGGTATGGCAACGGGGACTTATATACAAACTTATTAAGTTAAACTTTCTCGATCATTGTATTAGACTTATTGCTTCCTATCCCCAAGACAGAATCTTTGCAGTGAAAATTGGCAGTTCTGTTTCTTCCAAGAGAAAAATATTCGCTGGAGTGCCTCAAGGATCTGTACTTTATCCATATTTATATAACATTTACATTTACGATATTCCTAAGGACCCACAAATTACCATTGCTCTTTTCGCTGATGATACTGCAATTATGATCCAAGCTTCTACTGTTACTGATGTCCAGCTCCTTCTTCAACATTACCTCAATCATCTAAAAAATTGGCTCACTCTTTGGAGGATTGCAGTTAATACCGAAAAATCAAAAGCAATAATTTTTCGCAAAGGTCAAGCAAATTTCATTCCACCTAGTCCTCTTCTGTTTGATGAAGAAATTGTCTGGGTTGACGAAGTTAAATATCTAGAAGTCATTCTTGATAAAAAATTGACTTTTCAGAAACATCTCAGGGAAATTGTGAAAAAAATCAATATCACGCTTGCAACTATGCGCCCACTTCTTGGCAGAAGAAATCATATGTCCGTTTTCTAATAAACTCCTCTTATATAAATCTATATTTAGACCAGCAATACTCTATGCTAGTCCTGTCTGGGGCCACGCTGCCAAAACTCACCTTCAACACATCCAAGTTCTTTAAAACAAAGCACTCAGAGAGATCATCAACGCGCCCTGGTTCATTCCAAATTCTTATATCCACCGTGATCTCAAAGTAGATACAATTCAAGATTATATTCAAAAACTGACCAGAAATTTTTTTCTATTCAGTTCTCACTCATTCTAACAACTGAATCAACTCTCTTAGATGTTCTCCATTTCCCAGAGAAAAGCACAAATATCCAACTGACATTCTCCATCCTTAACATTTTTTACTTATACTAGATTCTTCAGTTCACTGATTTGGACCTTCAACCAGACACTCACCTTTTTCGTTGACTGATGGCGGCCACTGGACATTTACTTTCGTCTTTTGGTTGGGTTTACTGATGTTCTTCACGTGATACAGAGTAAAGGAGGCGCTGCTTTCTGAAACTCAAATTCACTATATGTTCTTAGTACTAATAATTTTATATCTAGCTCTGATTTTGCTTAGAGTTCCTCAACCAGTCAGTCAATTTAAGTTTCTTTTCAGCGCAGTCAATTTACATTTTTTTCACAACACTTGTAAGAATTATCTGATCTATTTTTTTTTCTTTCAATATATGCATCATTTTATGTATCCCATAAGTAGAATTTGCTACATAATAGTGTAGGGAAATCGTCACTCTGAGGTGTATGGTTACCAGGTTCAGCTATTTATCTCTCATTTGGTTCAAGAAACATGTTCTTTGGTTTATTTGTTTTCGATCTCGCGTTTTTCTAAACACGAATAAGCTGTAAATGAAATAGTTGGCTGTAAACGATTTCTTCACCTATGTTAACCCAAGAACTGGGTACAGCACAATATGTCTGTTGTAAAAAGCTTTCTTCTTGGCATCTTATATAGCAATTATTTTTCACGATTTCGCAGAATAGAGGATATCCTTTTGAAAATGTAAAAGTTACGTTTCAGGAAATGGGATTTTAGCCGTCAGGCCTCTAACAAATTTTCAGTGACAACAAAACTGGACTAATAATTAAGTCTGTTTTCCACGGATGATAATTCCATCTGGAGAGCATGCTCTAAATATAGGAAATGCTACAATAATATTCCGCCCCATAAAGGCCCTGACAGGATCCATTACACCGAAACTGAGAAAGCAGAACTCTTAGCTTCGCATCTGGAATCCAAGTTTTGCATAAACATTATGTATGGCACAACAACAGAACAGGTTATCTCTGACTTTCATAACAGTTACACAACAAACCCATTCACAAACAATATCGTTCCAGTCCGACCGTCGGAAGTTATTGGCTATGTTAAGAATTCAAAGAACAACAAGAGCCCGGTAGCATATAAGCATTCTGTACCGCGCCACGCACCTAGGGGAAAATCCCTCCTCGTGATTGGATACGGCTTCGGTTGATATCTTTTCCTCTACGCTTAGGAACGCCTTGACTTTGCCTGGGTTCGAGGATACAACTCCATACCGTTTGTTTATATTTTGATAGCAGTACTGAAACGATTATTACGTATGTTGAATTTTTGTTGCTATAAGATTACACTTGCAACACTGCAGAGTGATGAATTTAATATAAAAATACACTGTTTTTTCCCTAGAGAGAAAAAGTATTATTTTTTCTAGTGCTAACTACGTAAATGTGTATTAATATTAATTGCAGAGATCTTTAATGAATGTATTAATTTAAAACCCTTCATCTTAAAAGTTTTGTGATTATTAATTCATTATATATCCATTCTCTGCAGATGCAATCTCCGAAAGCATTAGACAAGTCACTTTTCGGAAATAGCAAAAACGACGTTGGGAGCTAACATAGTATAAAGTTGTAACGTTGCGCGCCTCCAACTTGCACGCAACCAAGAGGTGACTGTGAAAACTGTATAAAACACAGAGTCTTGTGAAGGGTTTAAGTCCCTTTTTATTCAACGTAAAAATTACAATTGCGTGCTTTTGACGCTCACAGACTGTGCCAACTCGGCAGTCAAATAAAAATAATAACCTGAAAAGAACTTAAAGACAAGACTCTAACTACGAGGCTCTCTACAATAACTAACTCACCGCGTTTTACAACACCGCTGCTAATTCAGCAGACTTGAAGCTCACTTGGACGATTAACACTACTTCCCGCCAAGCACATAGGCCGAAACGCGGGGTTCTTCAATTTCTCGCTAACTACCTCCGCGCTCGTGAAGTAAGAATATCACACACCGAACTTGTTTCCTTCCTATTTAAATCATAATACTTTCCGCTGATAATTTGAATCCTTGCGCGTTCTACTAAAATTTACTATTCTGGCATTGGCAGTTCCAGGGAAAGTAAGCTTGACAGGAAAGATAGTTAAACTTAAAATAAATGTTAGTTCAAATAAATATAAACCCTACATTGCCGCAGCCAGAATTTGGAAACTGGAAGAGCAGTCCTACAAACGACCTGTTGTATGTTTCTCTAATTCTGAACTAACTGCGAGAACCTCGTTTACACAAAAAAATCTTATGTAACATTTGTATACTAAATTCTGTTGCTCGTTATAAAACTCTCTTTTACAGCAACTTTTCCTGGACTTCATCAATCAATCTTGGTCTTTCTTCCAGCATCTGGAAGGAATAAGATCAGTATCTTTCTACATACATTATATTTACACTTTCTTGACACAATAATTTTGTTTTTAAACGATTCGTTTTTTAGTTATTGCTACTTCACTTCATTCAATTTTTCAAGCATTAATTTAACTTTACCCTGGCTCTCCACCATGTGTGGTGTCAAACGGGAATTTGTGTTTTAGTCTTACAACACTTCCCCTAACCACCAAGATTTGTTAGAATTCAACAACCAACTAGAACACCTTACTCGACATTCTACAACTCCATGAGCTACTTTAATAGTCTTAAAATTCAAATGTAGGTGGAGAACCCTACAAAACACATCTTCTAACTTCCCCCTCATTCATCTTTAACATGCAGGCTTTCGCTCTAAAGCATGACTTTATCTACAATTTAATACTTAAATTTTGACTTCATTGCTTTTAAGCATTCACTTTAGCATCTACAATTTATGCTTCTAGACTAAATTCTACTTTTACATAACATTCAAGTATTTACATACATTTACAGATTTTAATACATATGATTT